CAGCTTTTGAAGGAGACCTTTAACATCACAGGCTGATTAGCGTAATGAAAGAAGATTGCTCTCACTGACAATAAATGGACTGAATTGGGAGAAAAGCAATGAGGGAACACAGGATGTGGAAGAGTGGGAGACAGAGAGGGAAAGAGGAATATGACTAAGGATAAAAGTTACAGTGTATCACTTTTTTTTTTTAATTACTTCATTGTCTTCCTTTGGTCCCCCAAATTTTTCTCCTGTAGAGCACAGAGAGCAGTTCCTCCTTTATGAGTTCTTGCATCACCTTCATCCTTCAAAGATCCAGCTTCATAAGGCTGTGGGGATCATGAATATATAGAAACTGATCCCTCTCCAGAGGTTGCTCACATCTTAGTGATGGATACTACTTTATATTAAAATCAGTCATGACTTGTCCCCAGTTGTTCTTTTGTTTTTTCTCTTTTATGGAAAAGAGTTTACTTCCATTATAAACAAAAGAGGTGGGTTGCCTAAGTAACTGCCATTTGCATATAATAACTAAACAGTAAAATAAATTTCTACAGAAATAGCAAATAGAAATTGTTCTGAAAATCTCCAGTCATCTGCCACGTACTTCAATCATAAGCCTCAGACACAACTAGCTACAGAGCAATACAAGAGTATTCTTAGGCATAGCTTTCTATTATTCAACTGAGTAAAGTAAAAATTACAATCTATTCTGGTTAAACAGAAAAGCACAATACATTTGGCCTAGAAAAAGAGTGAATAAAAAAAACGATGCAAAAGATATCAAACTTTAAAAGCCTTCTTAAAGCATATGAAAAGCAGAAGTTATATGGACCCAAGAGATGACTGAATTTCAGAATGACCAAATGCAGCAGGTAATACTAGAGCAACAAGACTATGTTTTTTTGCATTCATACTCATTCAAGGAAGCACATTATATCAGTTCATTGCTCAGTAGTAGTCCAAAAACCGCAAATACCAATTCACAAGTAACTATGGAAGGAACAGAAAACCTAACAGAAGCCACCACTATGTCCCTAAGTTTCAATACCTTGTGCATTTCTGGTTCCAGTGGCTCAAAAATGCCATAGCTGAAAAGGAAACAGTAGAGAAGAACAAAAGTGACCAGGGGAATAAAACTAATCCCAGAACAACAAAAGCAAAATCTTCCTGTACAAGTAGCGGAAGTACAAGAAGCTATTTCAGTACAAGAAACCAATGACAACAAATTGAAGTACGAGCAAGAAACAGGAATATCTCCTTTTCCACAGAACATACACTCAAGTAGAGAACTCCTTACTACAGGATGTTTTAAGTGTCAGAGGTTCAGATGGCTCCAACATATAATTGAACAGATTAGATTAAACTCCTCTGGGAGGTACTCAGCATAAAAGCATTATTCTGGGCTTGGAAGGTGCTGAGTTATAGAGGGACAGATACTAGGAATAATTCTGCAAACTTCTCTCCTATGTGCCTATGCTTTTCTTCAGCCAGTGCTGAAGAAAGCCTGCTAGAACCTTCGGACTGGTCCAGCATAGATATTATCATGTCAAACTCTTTCACCTGCTATAGTTCACAACAATATTTATCGGTGACAAGTCATCTCTAAAAGCACATAAGTGATCAAGAGACACAGAAAAAATAATCAACTGCATCCTTTTATTAACCTTGAGGCAGTAGGTCAAGCCAACATCAAGCAGTGAATTAAACCATATACAACAAATTACTACTATCGGAGATATGTCTAGTGAAACAAACTACAACATTAGCTAAGCACAGCTTCTAACAGTATAAATACTGAATGCTACATTTTATACCACTGTACACATATCCTGACATCCAGCCAGGTCCACTTAAGTCATGTCTTCTGGTAAGGACCAAAGACAAAACACAAACACAAAGTTTAAGGCCTGAATGCTATCAAGAGTTGGTCTAAAACAACTTCTCTACATTATCTTCTACTAACTGTGTCTTAGTTCATGAGCTTATCTGTCTAATACCAATGAGAGTTACAGAAGATACAGCTATGAAGAGCAAATATACCACGTAATCTGGTCTGAATAAACTCGCCCACATCCAAGAAGCTGGTGTCTAAACACCTCCCAAGGCAGACGTCCTACGTTCTCTCTGGGCATCCTAAAAGGCTAAGACAGTAACCTAAATAAAATAAAATCTTTCCTAATTTTCATATTGTCCCTCTTGCTGCATTTCATCTCTCTTTCTAAGGGTTAAATTAGACCCCAAAATATATCTCATGGCAGGAAATTGTTGTCCCAGGTATGGATGAAATTTAAAACATCCTTTATCACATTCATACTTAGATTGCAGGACATTGGCTTTGCTTGTTCCCTAAAATCTGAGGCTTTTGTATTTTTTTAAGCTCTTTAAGTAGTCATTTAATACACTTAATGTTTTCAGGAAAGGTAGTTACAAAAATCAAGAATATTTCTCATATTCACTCTGACATTTAAGCCACTCTCAGTCAATTATTTTTCACTTTCTATTAAGGAAATTTAAGGCAGAAATACTAAAGTAACCTGCAGGAAAAAATTCCAGACCAGAATAATACTGCAATATTCCAAGTGAATCCCTGCAATATAGTATCTGTCATACTTTCTTCCTTAACAGGAGTAGTCAATATTAATGTGACTTAATGAAGAATCCTGACAACATTATCATGTTACTGAATTGAAATGACTTGATTACACTCTTCTTGAAGCTATTACTTACATCTCAGTAAAGGACTATCATTACAGTTCTTCAGTGGCTCAAAAGCAATCAAATAACAGCGAAAAACATAACCTGAGAACAAAAAATATTTCATCTAGCTATGTAAAATCGACAAGTCTGCATAACATCCACAAACAGCACAAAAAATAAGCACACAAAACAAAATAGATATAACAAATTATTTATGCTCAGATTGGTGAAAAAAGGAGCACACAATTTCAGTAAAACTGCAGTTAACTTTGTACTCACTTTTATAAGCAAAAATACAAAATCTCCAGCCTGCACCTCTCTGCACTCAGTTTCTATCACATGTCCAAATTTCTCAGTTTTGACTACAAGTCTGTAAGAATCTTACTTAAGGTTTTATTTATGCCTAAAGTGTTTTCGTTTTCCATAACAAAGCAATAGTATCCTACCTGGGTAGGTATTTCAAGTCTTCAGCAAATTTGAACATACTCAAGAATTTTGTTTGGTTTATTACCTGAACAACTGGATTACATAATCAGCTTTACTAATTGTCGAACAATTCTTTGAGCTCTATCAAGCACTAATCAGGCAAGAAAAATTCTATACATATTACCTCAAAGTAATGCTGGCTTTTCAGTAGTGAAACTAGAGTAGACTAAACAATTTAATAATACTTCTTTCCAGAAGATGAAATTGGACTGAGCAATCTGAACTGTCACAAAAATACCTTCTAAAAATTCTATGCCACTTATTTACACAGTCCCTTTTGTATACCACAGAATGGGTAAGGCTGGAAGGAACCACAGTGGGTCATCTGGTCCAAGTTCCCTGCTCAAGCAGGGTCATCCCAGAGCACACAGCACAGGATGGCTCTTGAACATCTCCAGTGAGGGAGACTCTACAACCTCTCTGGGCAATCTGTTCTAGTTAGTGCATAGTCACCTACACGTTAAAGAAATAATTAACTTATCATAATAAGACAACTCATTCATGATCTCTCAAGACAAGGTCAACCCTCTGAAGAAGCTGAGAAAGACACTTCAGAGACTGGGAGCACTGCAACATGAAGACTGAGGTCAGCTTGGTACCTATTAGATGACTTCTGATCGAATGTACGTCATCCTCACCTGACTTTGCCTTTCCCTCTCACTGCAGGTTTGCACCAGCAGATCATCCTGGACAGTACAGCTACACACAGAGTTGCTCCCTTGCTGAAATCCGCCAAAACGGACTAAACTCGGTTCCAGGTACTATGAACACTGGCAGTAACTACAGACAGGCAGGTGAGGGCAAGGATGCAGAGGTGCCCTTAACTAATTTCAGTTAGATTGTCCATAGAGTTCTTGATTTGCTGGCAAAAGACTGAGAAAAACAATGGGGATGGAAAGGGCAGAAAACACGACTGATTTCTTGCCTTCCTACTTCTACTCCTTTGGTACTTCCAGTGGGAGTTCTGTGACACCAGTGTACTTGTTTCTTACTCACCTAACACCAGTTGTGAAAATTCTCACTGAAAACAAATTTTTCTGGTTAATGATATTAAAGTAATTAATTAAAATATGTTTCCCCTCTTAAAAATCTCTCTTCCTGACAAATTTTATGGGATGAGGATAGAAAAAGCTCAAACAGTTTGACAGAAAAGCCTTACACTACAGAAACCTGACAAGTGGTCCCCAGAGTAGTAAAGGGATTATATTCAGGGATATCCCTCTTGATGCCATCTCCCTCCTTTCAAAGGCAGACAGCTGTATGTTACAAAGCACAGTGGTCATTCATTAAAGGGACATTATGACCCAATCGACAAACATCCTTAAAGGCAAGAGGATGACAAAGCATTCAGAATAGGCAGCTTCAAGACAGAATTTTTTAAGTATGAAGGAAGAAACAATAAATACGTAGTTTAGACCTTAAATCATTACAGAAGGAGAGACTACTTTACTTTCTTAGCAGTTAGCTTAATATAAAGTGCTGTGGCAGCCAATATATTAGTATCATCAAACTGGAGAGTTTATCAATAACACAAACAGCAAATCCAGTCTAAATCCAAGATTTTTCACAAGCACACAAAAATTAGAGATCATCAGAAGTCCTCCTGATAGTATTACATAAATATGTTCCCAATTTACTATGAACAGGCAAAAACTGTTTCCCAGCAATTCCTATTAGCTTTAAACTACATAAAGAAAATTCAACAACATTTCATGCTCGTCAGCTACTCACAAATCAAATCTTCAGTGTTATCTGCATACAGCCAGCTGGTTTTTAAAATCCTGCTGTAATTGAGGAGAAAAATAATTAAGCAATATTATTAGTCATCTTACCATCGTTCCCTGGTGGTTGTAATGCATCTCCTGTCAAGCTACACCATCCAACTGGGAAAATATCTCGAGAATCACATCTGCACCAATAGTCAAATGCTCCTCTCCAGCCATCGAATGTAACAAAAACTTCATCTCCTTTAACATCTCCAATGGTTGCTGGGCAAATCAAATATGGGTTCTTTCTGTCTATAGCTTCAAGTTTCATTCCAACTTTAAAGCAGTTTGGCACAGGTTTTGGTGGTTCCTACAAAAATAAGAGCAGAATATCTGTATTTCCATGGCCTCTTAAAATAAGAAAAAAAAAAAGAAAACAACTGTTTATTTTTCCTCAACATCCTTACTACTTATACTCACTATTTTCAAAAAGTTATAGCAGACATTCAAAGAAACTTATACATATTGCAATTTTGCCTTTGCTCTTCTGTATTACAAAAATCTAGATTCTATTCCCACAGAGATAGCTGGAATAATTAGCAAAATTCTCCATGACAGAAAGACCCTGCTAAAAGTATTTACATAAGCAATTGTTTGCACCCAATACATTATGTCTGGGCAGCAAGACAGCAAAGACACTAAAATGAAATTATTACATGCTAATAAAGAATAGGATGTTTGCAGAGCATGGATATTTCTGGGGAATGATAATTGTCTGGTAAAAGCTTTACCTCTCAATTAATCCATGAAAAATTCATTAGCATTGGACATTATTTATAGGCATCTGCTAACTTAGTTGGCCTTAGACCAATTCCAAGTGGACAAAAGAAAAACAAAAATCAAGCCTATGCGACCAGCATATGTGTACCTCCAGAGCAGGAGCTGTGATCCAATGGAACACCAATCGCCACCTCAAGAACCTTATTATTCAAACCCATCTCAGATGTGTTAGCCCAGAGAAGCATGGCTCATCACACCTCAGAAAATTTATATAATCTTAACAAATTATAATTATATGAAGTTAACACCAAGTTAACACCAAGTGATATGATTGCAGGTCCGAACTCAACTGTTTGATTTGCTGCCATAGTTGTCAATATCACTCTCAGAATCCAAAATGAAGACACTCAATGTGACAGCAGGGTTTTATCACCTCAACAAAAAATTGAACCAACAAGTCATTTTAATATTACTGTTGTTTTTATATAGTTTCTCCTGTTTTACGGTAACTTACTCAAGAGTCATGTTGAAAAAACTGCTATTTTCAACTACTTCTTGCTACATTTTAAATGATATGTGCCCAAGGAAAATGTTTAACAAAACCCTTCCAAGTACCACTGTATTTCAACAGCTCTCATTCCCCATTATTTTTTTTTAACTCCTGTGCACAATCACAAGTACAGTGCTGCTAAGAAACGTGATATGCATTATATTTAAAATCTGTGAGACAAAAAATGAGCAAAAGCAATATTTCTAAATAACACATCTCAGTCTCAGCTCAAAGTAGAAAAGACGGAAAAGAAATGCCCATCTCAATGGACTAGTAGTGGAATGCTTTCTGTCTAGCTCTGTAGCTTGTCAATCCAGTCCAAAGTAATTTTAAATAATAGTCTTGTCTTCCCTGTCTGTGCTGCAGAAAACAGGGTAATATCTTGGCATTGTCACTAAAAAATGTAACCATGGACCAACTGATAGGAAGTTGTTTACTAGAAATGCTTTTCTTCTTACCTTCCTAAAGAATGCTGCAGGTGCCATTTCAGCTCCATTGAGAGTTCTTAAGAGAAACGTTGGCCAAGATGATGCATTCATCTGGAACCCTGAGTAACAAACAAATAAAAAGCCCTACTTTCAGTTTGTAAAACACAATAGGAGGAGAAGGATATAATGTCTGTTTTACTAATGCCTCATTCCCTCTATTTTAGACTTGGCCAAAATAAAAGCAGCCAAGAAGGAATGAACACGGTCACTTTTGGTACAGAAAGCTGTGCAGTGCATTTGCACTCTGAGTCACTTGCCTGCAGAATCGCTCATCATACGAAGGGATATTATAGATAAACTTCTAGGATTTAAGGACATGCAAGTTCTAGCACAGTAGTTCATAAGGTTGTCCCACACAGTTCCTGACCAAAAGAACTTCCCCAGCCCAAGCATCTTCGCTTTCTCTTCAGGTCTGCTTTTTTCCTCTCATTCTAAAACAACATCCTCTGTTCCAGCTCATTTATTGAGGAGACACCTTTTTATTTTTGAGCATCTTGTCATTCTTTTACCAGGCCACAGACAAAAAAAAAAAAAAAGAACAATTGGTTTCTTCTCCCTCCCCCATTAAAATAAATACATAAATAGCCATAAAAACCAAAGAATGCCTAAGAGTGAAGAAAAAATACAATTATTTTAACGAGTATGTGTATCATATTGGAAAACATAAATCAGAAGATCTTTCTACTTTATTATTCTTCATTAACAAGTGAATAAAAAGCACAAACAACAATCAAGTATGTTCAGATGAACAACCTTATTAAGCAGAAAAAAGGTTTGGCTGAAAACATTCTCATTCCACATAATCCTTCCTCATAATCAACTACTTTTCAGTTAAAAAGACAAACAAAAACCCCAAAAAAATCCTTTTGCTTTCTGTGCTTTCCAAATAAATGTTTTAAAGTAATGAGTAAGATAACAGACATAGTGGACATTTTTTTCCTGTATCTTTAGCAGTTATATGTCTGGCATAGTTCTACAGAAAAATAGACATAACAGAGCAAATTGGAATTTTTTCCATAAAGCAAATAGTACCAGAATCTGCCAGGAACTAAGTTCCCTCACAGCTGAGCCTCAACAATTCTCCTAAAAAACTAAATCGAAAGGCAGAACATATCTGCAATTCTTGATAAGTTAAATCATTTACTCATCTAAAATTGGATTATATGCTATAATGGTTCTTTAGCTCATAGCTTTAAGCTACCTTCCATTGAATAAACAGTTTTCATGTTGGAACCACCTATGCAACACTCAAATTAACATAAAGCTCGTATGTGATAAATGGTGTCATAATTTGAAGACTGCTGAGCTGATTTTTAGGTCTGGTTTCATACCAGAGTCTTTATACAACCTAAACATGTGTGGTTACTGAAACGCAATATTCCCAGCTAGCTTGCCAGAAAACAGATACAAGCAAGACAGAGGAATGACAACTAAATAAAAGTTTCAATTAATTTCATTTGGCCTTAAAGTTGTCCTGGTAAAACCAAAGAAAATGCTATCTGCATTATAATTTGTTCAGAACATTAAGATCTCAACAACAAAACGCTCACCTATGGAAAACAGAGGCTGGAAAGGGAGCCCTTTGTTACAATAATCACTTTCTCAAAAACTTTATGTAACATGCATAATTAAACCCATGTAAAAATCAGGTAGGAGGAACTGTTTTATCTAGTTATTATGATAGAAGCAGAACATTAGTATCCAGAAGGTTCCCTACTACTCAGAAAAAAAAAAAATCAGTTGCTTAAATGTCTAACAGGAGGTAATTATACACCCAATTAGCTCCCAGCTTTGCCCAGGAACAGGATGCTGAACAAGTGCCAAAAAGGCTTTTTCAAAAATTTATCTAGGTATGCCAGAATGTTTGATTGCTGGAATTCAGCCTATCTCTAGAAAAATCTAGGGCAGGAGGAACAAAATAATAGCACTCACATTCTTTTCTGAATAACCAGCAATTGTTCAGTGGGCAGGTAAGCTTACATGCCTGGGTGCAGGAAAACAACCGCTTGTGAGGTGCTGCACAAACAGCCTGATCAAATAGGAGTAAGAAACAGTATCTGAGGAGAAGGCATCAACCTTTCTACTGATGACTGTGGAAACTTTCACTTCTTAACGAATTGACTGCCCCCATTATACATAACTGGAGTTGTTTTATTCATCAGACTGGTTCAGAAACACATTTTAAAAAGCGCCATGTTCCTGAAGCCATATATCTAACACTGTACATATGTGCAGCTGAAGGAACTGGTGTACTCTTCCCTTTTCCATACTGGTATCACTTCATTCATTCTACAAGGTTATATCAAGAACTTTAGAGAGGTTAAACTCAGAAACTCCTCAAAAAAAAAAATAAAATCTTTTCCCCCAACATCAAGAATTTTCAGTGTTTTCATTCAAAACCTCTATATATCCACAGGAAAGAAGGGGAAAAAAAAAGCCCTTCTGGGCTTAAACTGTATCTATCCTAATAATATTTTTCTAGACTGGCACCCTGATTGCATTGCTTTTCTTGTGTTCTCAAAGGAACACAACAGCACAAAAATCTACCCCTATAATCTCTGTGAAGTACCTTAATGGTTATGTCAACTGCTCCTCTGTCTGTCTCTCTACAAGCAAATCAAGTTTCATGCTGTAGTGAAATGAGACTTTTTACTTTGTTTTTCAAACAGAAGAACTAGAAGTTGCTAATAAACTGGGATGACAAGTTTCTGAGAGGTTACTAAGAGAAATAATGCCTATCCTCACTAAACATCTGATGAGAAATCTGTAAGAATTACTGATGACACCAAACCAGAAGTAGGTTCATAACTACAAGATGGAATCCATCAGCCACTCATTTCTGCACGCAGTTAATGTCTTATATTAAGATCATTATTTCTCGCATCTTCTAAAAATTACAGAACGGGGTAACAGGTGACAGAGTGTTCAGGTAAATTTCGGCCATTAATTTTCCTCCTTCTTAAAAGCAAAACTATTTTCAGACCAATGTGAAATCTTTAAAGACTTCCACATGTAGAAGTTTAAGCTATAACAAATACAGTACAAGAATGCAGATCTAAACATACAGGTTAATCACAGCAAAGAAAGGCAACGTCACGCTTTACTACTCCTAGTAGTTTATTCAAAGTTAACTTCGACTCTTCATCAGCTAGTGAGGAATTCCTTTGTACAGTTCCCTATTTAATAAACTCCCTCAATAAGACTAAGCCCAAGCCCTATTTCTCCGTTTGGGGAAACACACTGTGTTGTTACCCATATTGCTCATGGAAGGCAAAAGAAATTCTGCATGCTATTTTTAAGCATAAGAAAGCTACACCTTCCTCACAAGTGTTTTGTTGCGCTCACAAACTAGCTATGACAAACTGATCTGACACCCCAGGACGTGTGTCCATTTGAGGTGATGAGAATGACATGCAATACAAGACCGCAGTTTGCTAGAGCTCTGGAGTGCTACTTTTCCTACCTCAGAGCAGAACGTTGCAATTCCACACTAAACCAACCCTGTGCTGCCTTTCCCAGAACACAACCAATTCACTCAGTGCCTGAGGAAATATTCCAACTGCCCTGCAGGGACGTGCCTCCAGCAGCCCTGCCAAGGCTTCCGGGGCCGGTAGCAGCCAGTGCCCTCTCCTCGGCTGATTGGATGCGCTGATGAAGAAGAATATAGGGGCAAGTTCCCCCAGCTCTTTCCAAGGGCTCCCAACATGAGCACACATGGCATCGTGCAACAAAACACTGTACACTTGTAAGGCAGGTTACATGTGAGGGAATATTTACAGAATGGGCACATGGCTCTGTATCTTATTATTAAGAAAGTTGTCAGACACTCCCATTTAATATTAAGGGACTATTAAAAAAAAAAACAACAACCAACCAACAAAATCCCCCCCCACAAAACCAACAAAAACGCTCATTCTTATATCAGAAGAATCAAAAAATAAAAAAAAGTCACAATTCAACTAGCCTGAAGTAGTTTGCTTACCTCTTTTTCAATTAAATAATGGTTTGGCGAAATGTTAATACTATTGAATAGTCAAGCAAAAAGGTAAATTCAATGTCATGAAAGCAATCCTCCACACGCATTCATTCAGAAGCTTTGTTTCTTACCCAGCGGAGGCTGGAGCATGCCCCCTTTCTTTTCACAGGTCCCAATGGGTTGTATGTCTGAGGAATCCACAAGCCTCCAAAAGTCATTTTTGTTGTCACTTCCATCCAGCCGCAACCTTAGCCTGGCACCAGTGATTCCAATGACTGTAGCTATACAAACTGAGGTAACATTGCGAGGATCACGGGCTTCCAGTTTCATACCAACTTTGAAATCGTTCGTAGGTGGAATTCTAGACTACAGTAAAAGGTAAAAGACTTTTTCTTATTGATGTTAGCATTGTTAAATTTACCAGTCAGTTCAATATACAGCTTTCATCCATCCAAATGTATCATATAAGTGATAAATACGAAGAAACTTTTGAACTTCAAGTGTTTAGCAGCAAGTCACAAAAGGCAGCTGGATAACCTACCAACTGCATAAACATGACTGATAAGCCCACTAAGAAGGGTAATATCTGATGAAGATATGAACATAAAGACGGGGAGCCGTGACTAATACTTTAAGTGAATGGAAAACAAGGACATCGGGAAACATGACATTCAACTCAAAAAAAAACAAAAACCAAAACACAAACCAACACACACAAAAAAACCCCCCCACCAACAAGGTTTATTATTTTTCAATTAAAAAGAAATAGTTATCCTCACTGTAATATTACTTTGGAGATATAAAGAAAATTTGGACCCTACTGTCCTAGGCACTACAAAAGCTCAAGGTAAGAGTTTCTGCATCAAAAAAAGCTTACAATACAAAGAAAGAAGAGAGAAAAATGAGTTAGTGCTAATATTTTACAGAAAGAAAAAACAGTTCTAAAGTCATATAAAACTTCTATGCTAAGACAAAAGCTGCAGCTTGTGCTTATTCCTAGAGAACTGAATATAATCAATAACATACAATGAAATGCCAATTTAATTAGCACAGGGAAAAAATGTGACAAATGCCACTTGGTCTTTGTGCAGAACTTTTTGTCACACGCTAAAGATGAACAAAAAAGAATAGTTTTTACTCATGTATCAACACTACTGGTAGAGATTGACTGGATCACAGTCTGATTATTTGCCTTCTGTGGAATTGTAGGCAATGACATCACCTAACAATGTTCAAAACTCTGTATTGAACAAGGATTTAATGCTTCTCACTAATTCTCTTTAGATGTCTCCTAAATTTATGAATGGAATGTTTCCCAACACTATAATTTAAATTCTATTTGCACTTTTGCAAATAACAACAAAATCTACAGTGTATTTACAGAGAGCAACCCGACCTTTTCTCAGCATCCTTTCAATGAGATAAGTAAGTCAAGCACTGAAGTTTCTCTTAGGAGATGATGACTATTCTCCTATCACGCTGAAAGCTCTTTTCTGCAATCCTTCAGTACAAAGTTGTTTTTGAATGCAGACACCAATGTAAGCAGCCTTTTCCATGACATTTAAACCCAGTAGCTATCCCATACAGACTAACATAATCTGACTTCTAACACAGTAGGAAGGTAGAATACCCAAAACCATGGGCATTCACACTCACAGGATTCCTATGTCCCCTTCTCCTGCCCACCTGAGCAGGTCAGGCAAGGATCCCATAGTAAGCAGATACAGGTGCGCTTATCTGTCTGGGGACACAGGAAAAGACTGAACAAACCTGCTCCTGCAACAAGTATTGGTGATATTTTTTCTCCATCACATTTGAATGTTTGAAATACACCTTCCTCTACTTGCTGTGTTGTGCAGGTGCACTATTTACAACACACCCTAGATCGACAGCAGGAGCCCTGGAGGAGCCCGAGTTCAAAACCCAGCGGCAAGCAACATTCAGTGAATGCTGAGTGCAGCACCTGCTGCACTCAGACAGCAGGCTGTCTGAAAGGGGAGCCTGAGCATATTAAATTTAAAGGGCAATTCAATTTCAGGATATTGCTTGTCAAGCTGTTATTTTCTACTACCAGGAAAAGCAACAGAAATTGAGAAATTGGGGAGTTTGTTTATTTATTTGCGGAAAAGGTGAGCTTGTTTAAATACCAATAACTCAAGGCATTCTACTAAAAAGGTAACTCTTCCATGCTAGTTTGCCCTTACAGAAAAATAACAAAACCCCACTCAGTAACAGCCTTGTTTAAAGTTCTGCTCAAATCACAAGGGACTGAGCTTTTACATTTAAAATTTTCAACTGCTTCAAAAAAAGTTTCAGGGCAAGCAAATGGGATGTGAAATCCACTGAAATTTTAAGTAGTAATTAAAAACAACTTAAAGCAACAGATAAAATACCTTCTAAATTAAGATAAATACTTTAATCAATTTCCATTAGCTGTCTGTGCCTGTATCTTAAATTATGGTAGAGGCTTTAATTTATTGTTCCCCAGGTCATTTTTAATTACTATAAAATTTAAACTTTTAGAATTCCCACAAGTCACAAATTCTGGATATAAATGTCAAATTGAGTTTCTCTCTGCTCTTTATTTTCTGGCTGGCCACAGCAGTGTATTTATTTGCGTTATATAGATAATGACACGTAAAATTCACGTGTAACCCAATAAAAATCAAATTAGTCCTACACAAAGCACAAGCACTTTAGGTTTAAAATCTGCAAACATTATGTAGAGAGAGGATCGAGCTATGCACTAATCAACATTGCATATCACTTTCTACTTAAAGGTCGACTCTTAGAAAAACTGAAAATCTGCATATGTAAATTGTTTTGAATTTTGCTATGCACATAAATTAAAGCTCATCTTTCCAACCCACACACTCCTTAAGCAATCCAGGCCACTTTGATTCACCTCGGTCAGTGCATGTCACCTAAGCATCTCTATATAAGGTGTTATTTGGTTGTTCAGTTTGGACTTCTTGAGCATTATTAGGGAAGAGGGAGATGCAAGAAAGGCACACAGAAAGGCTTCTGAGCAGCTTCCTGCAGTAGCTACATTTCTTAGGAGCATACACTGTGGTTTATGGTCTGTGAGTATGGCATTAACCTCAGGATGATCCAGGGATATGCTACCACCCTCTGCCTCTATCCAAGCAGAGTTTGAGGTCTCTGCCTTGAGCTGGTATCCACTGTGTAAAACACATACTGTGACACAAATTTCTGAAGCTCCACTCACACAGAGTTATCGACACCACTCCTCTTAGCCATGTCTCATTGAAAGAAGCATGCAAGGGGCTCTTTGCCCTTTATCCTCATCTGCAAGGAGCAAGCTGAGATTCAAGATTTAGCACGAGGAAATGCTACCACCTGTGTTTCTCTCTCCTTATTCTCCACTCCTGCAACTACTTTAGATTCACTGAGTGACGGTTCCTCCCCTCCTCAGACTAATCCATTCATGTTGCTTTTTATTTGGTCTCCCACTGCAGGCCAGTATCATGTACAGTACAACTGGACTACCAACACACCCTAGAAGACACTTTCAGAACGTGCCCAAGCCACTAAACTAGACATGCACTGCTTGTCACACCTATTACACTTCTATCAACCTGAACTATCCAATTCCTTCAGCAACTATCTTCCTAACACAACGAGGGCATACAGACCAAACCACATCCTATTACACAGACAAGATACTCCTCAGCTTGGGAAAACACCAGCCTTGACTCCCTATACAGAGAGAAAGATGCCTGCAGAGATCGACTCAGCCTCCAGAGGGCTGAATAACTGGAGGTCATCAGCTTACACAAGATGGTACACTTAAATTGCACCTGCAAATACATACCAAACCATCAGGCGGGGGGGGAATCAGACTTGTAGGCTACAGTGTAAGATATAAAATAGTACATTAAACACCCTTTGTTATAAATCCAGTATTTCCTTTGTATTCCCATATATTCCCTTGATTTTTTTTTTTAACTTCAATATGTGTTACTCCTTAGTAAAAAGCACTCTGCTCAGAAAGAGACAAAATTAAACATATTTGAGAGATCCAGGAAAGAAGTGGTGACTAAACTCTGCTAAACACATATCTTGTAGCTAGACAGAATTGAAAGGAATCTTTCAGAAATGAGGCAGAGGAAAGGCTCTCTGACAATCAGCAAAATTTTTAATTCTCACTAAAACCATGGTACCTCTAAGATTACTGAAAAAGGTAGAAAATATTTTTTAACTCTGATAAGACTATCTGTTTTCATTAACTAGTCTTTTTTTTAAAGAAAAACAGAGTCCAAAGATACAATTTTAATGGAATCCTTAAAGTTTGGCTTGAGGCGGAAACCAAGAATGAAAAACTTCCGTAGCTCTCATCTGCCCAAACTGTAAGCTACTGATAACTAGAGATCAAAAGGAGTCAAATAGGAAGTCTAACCATAAAAGTTGCTCCAGGATCACCCTGTAACATGTATACATACACACACACTTGCAAAACTGTATCTGGCATACCTGTCTGAAACAATGTAGAGGGGCAGCTACTGATTCAGTCTCTTTCAGATAGTCATCCCAATTAAACTGTTCTGGAAGACACAAGATAAAAAAAGACCATATACACAGTTTTAAAATGGAACTTAAATTAAAAGGGGAGTTGGGGAAAGAAAGGGACAAAATAACCCAACTATCTTGTAGAATACCTTTTTTTTCAAGAATAGGATTACTCTCAAATGGAAACTCTACCTTTGAAATACATACAACCTTCAAAAGAGCTTCAAGAGTACCATTAATTCACAGGGGTGATCATACAATAGGCAAAATTAATATAAATCTTCCCAAATTATTTTTTTTTGTGGTCCACATACAAAAATATACAAGTTAGGATACTTAGATTCAAATCTCTGCATAAGGATCCTCCTGAGCATCCGTGTATAAATCACGTTAGCCTTTCTGTATCTTAGTTCCCCTAACAGCAGGATTGTTATAACTTCATATGAGTACTGGGATGATACACATTGAAAAACACACACACAGATTCTGTTGAAATGTATATTATGAACACTATCTCCAGTCCACTCGAAAGCAAAAAGCCTTCCAACGGCATCTTTGCCTCTTTTCATCTGAAGTCTGATAAAGGTTTCTCTTTGTAGAATATTAAGTATTACAGCAATTATAGGTAAACATTAAGAAACAGAATCATGGGGTTTTTTCCAGTGTTAAGAGTGGCATTGTTTATGAGCATGGGCAAGTGTACTCTGCATTTGATTTAATCAGTGTTATCAGTTTTGCATGAATGGAAAAACATGAAGTACTAACATCAAAGATACAAGCAAGCATTAATTAAATTAATATAAAGTGGAAGATAAATGCTTCAATAGCACAGCTAATATTTTTGTTACTAAATTATCTGAGTTATTTTGCTTATTTTTCTTGTTTGGGCAGCCGACATCTTTCTGATGTTCCTGAATAACAAATTACTCCTAAACCTCAAAATGATGCTGTGATGCCACCCAGCGGCTCAGCAACAGTCATTCACACAGCCCATAGCAAAATCCTTGGTGACGACCAAGAGCCCACACAGGGCTTGCCAGTAACCCTTCCAAAACCACCACTGGGCACAGACACTTAAACACATCCCTGCAATTTTCAAGAAGAGAGAAGCAGCAAAGAAACAATCAGAAAACGGCAGCATTTTTCAGCACTCACACACTGCTTCTCTGAAAGATGCATGGTGGCTCAAGTGCAGTGTGTCTCCATTAGCACAGCATTTAGACTGTCCCCTTGGCCTGACAAGATCCTCTTTTTTCAGCATAACACTCAAAGGTGTACAAATGATTTGTCCTTGGCACTGCAGAAGCCATATGACTGTTAGCTACGTGATAAGTCAGCAGCAATTCAGTGAAATCTCAAAAACTGTTAATTTGTTGGTCTGTAGTATATGTAGGCTGGTAACAAAGACATTTCCATACAACATCTTGGAAGTCTGCCTATTTTGGAATGAAAATTTTATTCATATATTTATACAGTAACACTGATATTGTATTACTTAGAAAAGGCAGGGTATGTTAACCTCAGCATATGTTAGATATTTGTATTTCAGGAAGGCAGAAATGGCTCTTCAGAGCTTTCTCCAAAAAGTAGCCTCCAGATTTGTTGCTCTTCTCATTAATAAGCCAAGGAGGGTACAAAAACTAAAGATGATAAACTTCTAGGAAGGTTTCATCTTACAGAAGTTCTTCTTGGAGCTTAATAATAAAGTTGCCACTTCAGGTTGCCTTCTGATTTACAAAAAAAATTTAAAAATTTTGGTTTTTAATCAGTTTGCCTTAACAAACTACCTAACTCAATAAAATTAAATCTAGCAAAAAGAATATGTTAGCTGTGTCCTAGCTGTCTCAGAGCTAACATGATGTAAAAGCTGTAATCATGAATCAGAACCTCTCTGTGTTAAGGAGTGTATAAATACAGATCAGAGACAGCACCTTTTACCAGGAGAAACCCCCAATCACCTCCTCCAAAAAAAATTATATACCAGCATATCTCAAATAATCTCAGTTGTTATAACAGGACTGTAAATTTGGTGGAATGACCCAAAAATACAGAGGGAAACAGTCTTATTTCTTCCAGGGAACATCTACTAGAAAGACATGTACAGCAACACAAGCAGCCAGCTGCAGATAAAGCCAAGAGTAAAAAAAGATTGCCTGGCTCTTTGCTTTAAATCCTGGCTATCAAAAGCTCTTGTATCAAGCAGAAATGTCCTGGAGTTAAAATTAGAACCTCTCCACCTGCGAAGATACACTGCATTAAATTGGAGCCAAGCTCTCAGAGATGGTGCTAATTATCATTTAATTACTGCAGTCATAGAAATAGGAGACGTATGAATGTTTGCAACATGTAAGATGCATCTCTAAAAAGACAATCACATTGAAAAAAATATCTACACAAAAGCTTCTCTGTATTCTCAGTGTGCAGAGGTAAAGAAGCAGCTGTATATATATATATATTTCTAATTCTGAAGCCCCTGAAAACATGCAGCTTCCGACAACTAGAAATTCTTAAAAAAATCAGCTCGCACTAAATGATTTAACATGCACCTCACACTCAAATCTGCAGGCTGAATTAAACAGCTCAAGAAAAACTTGTTATGCAACAAGCACAACTTTATAACCTATCAGCAAAGTGTAAATGAGAGAGAAGGAAATTTTACATTGAAGAACAAATCAGCATATACTGGAAACGGGGGGGGGGGGGAAAAAAACAAACAAACAAACAAAAACCCACATCAAAAAAAAAAAAGAACACAACAGAAATTTTATTTAAAAAAAAAAAATTAGTTTATAGTCAACACAGGAGGGAGGCTCTAAAACAGTGATTCAAAATAAGCGGCATGGGCAAAAAGTCTGATTAATTTAAAAATTAAGGAAACTGTTTATACCATACTTGCCTTCATTACTTGAAATGACCCATTGCTCTCTGCAGTGCTGTACCAATACCCTATCACTTCTTGTCAAACCTGCCAATCCTAAAGTAACTCAAGCTAAAAGGGACCCCAGGAGGTCTCTAGTTCAGCCTCCTGCTCCTCCAGGGTTCCATCAGCTTCAATGTGAAGATTTTTTTCCTTCCATCAAGGAGGAATTTCTTATGCTCCAGCCAGTTATTTGTCACTTCTCCTTCCACTGCACCTCAGAAAAGCCTGGCTGTGCCCTCTCTACAGCTGCCTGTCAGGTATGTGAAGACAGCAAGACCATCTCCCGCAAGCTTTCTCTTCTTTTGGCAGAAAAAAACATTTTCTGGTTTCCATATCATTTTTTTTGCTTACACCTTGCATTCCAGCACCTTCACTGTTTTTGGTGGACAGTCAGCCAGCCTGCTCCAGTATAGCAGTGCCTTCCTTGTACTGCGCAGCTCAAAAGTGAACATAGTTCTCCAGATGTAGTCTCTGAAATACCACAAAGCAGCGAATCCCTCCTCTCTGCCTGCTGCCTGCAGTCCTGCCGACAGGATCCCTATGCAGTTGTCATCTTTCACCACAAGAGCACACTGCTGATCCACACTCAGCTCTCCGCCTGCCAGGGTTCTAGGGCCTTTCAAGCTAAATTCCTTTCCAGGCAGCCAGCTTCCCTCCTAGGCTGCTGCAGGGCTCCGGTCTGCCCGAGGCAGGGAGGGACTCTCCATTCACCTTTGAATCCCAGGGGGCTCCTGTCATTCAGTTCCCTTAGCATGGGCAAGTACATACGAAGAGCAGTTCTGCCTTCCAGCGTACAGTCTACCCCTCCCCATGAGATGCCGCCCACAAACTGGCTTGACAGTGTGTTCTGTCCCAACATCCCATCCAACAGCAAAGTGTAAAACAGCATCAGCTCTAGCCTTGGCCTCTAAGAAATGCCACGAGCTACCAGCTGCCAGATGGACCTTGCACTGCCTGGCAGCCCAGTCAATTTTTCATCGACCTATCCAAAGCACATCTCACCAGTTTGGCTGAAAGGACACTACACAAACTGTACAGAAAGCTTTGCTGAAGTAGAGATGAATGACATCCACTGCTCTCCCCTTGTTTACAGAATCACAACAGAAGGTAATCAGTCATGTATGGTTCACACCTGGCAAATCCATCTCAGCTGTTCATAACTCCATCTTTGTCCTTTATTTGCTTGGAAATGACTTCCTGGAGGGTTTTCTCCACAGTCTTCCTAAAGACTTGTATCAGGCATACCAGCCTGCAATTCCCCAGGTGCTCCATTATTGTCCTTCTTGATAGTGGGCATACTGTTTTACCTTTTCATCATGAAACCTCCTCAATCACTATGACCTCTCCAAAATGAGCAAGAAGCCTCACAGTGACATCAGTCAACTACCTCAGCACCCTCAGAGGTGTGACACCTGCTGCCACAATATGTGAATGCCAGTTTGCTGAAGTGCTCCCTGTGTTCCACTGTACATAATGCTTCACTTTAGTGTAAGTCAAAAGTTTTTCAAAATTTAAATTGAAGATTTAAACTATGAGTTAAGCGTCACTTGTAGATTGGCAGAATTTAAGGTCCTGGTTTATTTAGGTTAGTTTAATACAGTATCACTACAGCCTAAACACTGTTTGGACAGATGGAGCACCTCATGTCTTCTCATATCACCCCAACGTTCCCTTGGCATGCATCTGAGACTTTGGACATAGAGAAGTATCTTTTCTAGTCTTCATCCCACAATCTCTCTTCTTCAAAGATGAGATTTCCTTCTAATTCTCATTTACATACTCTTGCAAATACAGTAGTTTAAGTGTAAGGCATGTCATACATCACTTTATACCTTGTACCTTCTTCTATATGTTGTGATCATTCAGTTAGAATTTTTCTCATCCTCATGTCTTTCTCTACTCACTTTGGTCTATTTTTTCACCTGTATCTCTGTGTTTCCCCTCCTCTTCAACTTTTCTTATCACACATCTCCCTGGGAACTCTGGAGACTTCCTGGATGTTAGCCCAAGGCATTGAAAGGCATTTTTCTTCATCCAGCATCAAGAGGCTTGTTCTGCTTCCTTGCCACCAAAAAGCAACAACACTGGATAAAAATTATCTTCTCATCTGTAGAAAATCAGAGATTTTGCAAGGCACTCTTCTCTGTTTGACAGAGTTGAGCCCAGGTTTCATGCGTAAGTTCAGTGCCCAGACAGTCGATTAACATGTAGCCCAAGTGGAAGAACACAGATGACTGAATAAGGTTTGCCTGCTTAGCACTGCTTCTCCACAAAGCTTTTTCAACACTTTGCTCTCTGCTGCAGGAGGTGGCAGGGACATTTTCCAGTGACTCATGAAATATGGTTATCTTATCCACATATGAAAAGCGTATTGCTGGTGGGGGGGTACCCTATGGGGCTCCGTCTGTCATGTCAGACGACATTATTTTAAAACACAGATACGCTGAGTCCAGTTTGACTGGAGCTCCTTTTACACTGCAGAAGAGGCAAAAAGACACAAATATGATTCCTTTTCTGTCTCAAAGTAACAGGGACAAATAACAAAGATGACAGGTTGCCCAGAGAAGTTGTGGAGTCTCCTTCTCAGGAGATATTCAAGAGTCATCTAGACACAATCCTGAGTAATGCACTCTCGGGGACTCTGCTTGCAGGACTAAGATGACTTCTAGCGGTCCCTTCCAACCTTGCCTATTCTGCGACTGCTAGAACCCCAATAAACAAAAAAATTAGGTCTGGTAAATGGAACAGCAGAAGGCTCTACTATGGCTGGTGGTAACAAGGCATTGTATCTTTTATATGATGTCACCACCTCAACTACCTAGCTACTGTGTTGGTATCTCAGCATGTTTGTTCAGTGACTATGCTACTCCTAAGGAACTTCTCCACCAGTACCTAAGAAAAGTCCTGAACCAGATCATCTCTCAGGAGTCAGAGGGCACAGAAATGTGAGCAGAGCAAGAGTTTAAATAACTCTGTGACATTTTTCCGAGAACTCCTGAAGAGATTTTGTACTTAGGTCAATAGTACTCATGACATTTCCTAATGTCCCAAATTTGAGCAACCATCATGAACATACAAAGGATATGTAAAAGGGTGCTGCTGTCCTCTCACTGCAGCCCACAAAAGCTAAACTGACAGTAGTCTCATGTATATGCTGCCTTATAGCACCTGTTGAGGACAGCAGAGGTTAAGTTCAGTAAGAATCTGGATTATTTCTGGCAAGTGTGTAGTTTCCTCAATTTAGTATGAAAACACAAATTCTGTTTTCAAATAATTTCTTTAAAGTAAAATTAGAATCCCAGGCAATTTAATCCAGTTAGCGATCCTAAAAACTCAGCCTATCAAACCAAAAATTCCTTCTTTGGCACCAGCAAACATATTAAGGAAAGAGAAAATAACTTCAGCAGATAAGGCATGAAACTGAGAAATACATGATGAGAAGAACAGCAAATGAGTAATGGTCTAACAATATTAATGTTTACACAGCATCTTTTATCATACATACAAAGAGTACTTGTCTTGGCTAGTAAAATAATCAAGCTCAAGTCAAGCAGTTTCAACTACCATCTTCTATACCAAAACATACTTTCCTAACAGAGTTAGACAAAAGCAATGGTATGTTTTTAACTACCCACCAATAATAACACAAGAGAGTGCCAAAAAAAAAAAAAAGGCCTCAGGAAATAGTATGATCCCAACACACACTTTTTCTTTTAGGGTACCTTAACTAATAACCTGTCAGCTGCAATACCTACCACTTTTTAAAGACGGGTTGTTTGCCTGCTGATTCTTTCCATCTTTCTCTTTTTTAATATTCTTTGAATCTAAAAGACAAGATTCCGTTACATAATAAATGTAATATTCACATCATAACAATGTCCAGCATAACACAGAATGCTTTCAAACAATACAGAATATCTTGTTCCAAATACTGACGTTCTTTTATTCATTTCAGTGCACAATCAAAGGGTACTCTAAATTTATTCACTGCACTATTTTCCTTTCAAAATATCCTGAGAAGTACACCATAAAAAAGCAGAGCTTCTGATTACTTTATATCACATTATCAGAATAAATGTAGTTGCAGAACATGTAGTATTAGCTCTACAGACAGTAACCCTGTCCTAATTTTTAATAGTTTTACTCAAACCACACACAATTTGAGATCCTTAAGATCATTGGATATCTTTATAAATCTTGTATAGATCACTTTGAACTGAGAAACAAAGGGAAAAAAAAATAAACCCACCCCAAAAGCATATTTCTGAGTTAAAGATTCCATTCTATATTTAGATTCTTGAATACTCAATATTCTCAATATTAAATTCTTGAATATTCAAAGCAGCTATCTCACTGCACATGCTGGTTATTTAAAAGAATCATCCAGAAGAATCTACCTTCCCTATGATTCATCTCTACACTCATTCAGAAAGGAGTCGGTCATATTTCATTTCTGAAGGATTTCAGCACGTATGAGAGACACAGTGGAACTGGGCAGCTCAGAAGACTGAAGGAGACAGTCCACTCATTCCTTTTAGTCTTTAATATATGTTGGTTTGGTGACCTGCTTTTGACACTCATGGACTCAAGCACAATTCAAATATGACACCAAGCGGGCAATGCTTTTTTTTTTGAAAAAGAAGTTTGCTTTGGAACATTTTTTACTGGATAGGTTCATGGAAAAAAATCCTTATGGAGGTCAACTTCAGATGGAACTGTTGAAATTATTCAGGATGGTGCCCATAAGCTTTAACCCAAATAATTCCTCAGAAGTAGGCCTTAAGCCACTCAAACGGACACCCTACAACTACCTGTGGGAATCTGAGAAGGGAGAGTGTTAGAACTAATTCTACTGAGCAGCAGCAAGCAACAGCAGAGCCTTTTGCCATGTTCTATAACCTCAGTTAGTCAGGTTTTCCCAAAAACAGTCATGGGACTATTGCAAACATCAGGCTATCAAGCTTACAGAATAAATAACTTCCCAATACACCTATTTCCAAAGAGGAAATCAGTAAGTCTCTCATGTGGGACTCCATTGAAATAAGAGAACTAATAACTGCTTCCTGTGAACACCCAAAGCTTGAAAGCACAGAGTGCCAGATTTCAAACAAGATGACAGCCTTTTATGATGAGAGACATCAAGAACAGGTGGAAGAATGTGAAAAACTGCAGCCTGGACACCACATGTGCTCTTGCTGACAATCACCACACGAATTATTTATTCTCTGTACCACTTAAGTTTAGTGCCTATCTCAAAAATACCACAGCAAATATGAAAGCTGAAACAAAACACTCTTCGCAACACAGTTTTCTTATCAGCCACTGGAAAACTACAAGAACAAGAGGAGATGATTATATTAATGAGAACTGGATTTCTCAACAGCAATTTAACCATCTAGTTCATTTGAGGTGGAGGCATTTTCATTCACAGTAAACACAAAGCATTGTCACTATCACTTGTTTTTGATGGCCAGAAATTTGCTCTTTAAAATGCTCAAGTAAATCTCACCCAGCACATGCAGAAGCATCCAAAAATATGTCTGAATAAAGCCAAGACTGCTTTCAAAAACTCCCCCTGCTTTTATGCATTCCAACCTTCAGTGGGAAATTGGGAACACCATTACAAAGCTGGAGTGTTTTGTCTGAGCAGATGAAAAGCTGCTAGCAGGAAAAATTACCTACCTGATTCTACATGAGACACCCTGTATCTACTACCACCACAGAAAAGTTCTGCCCAGTCTATACTTCACAATTGCTATTATGCCTTGGTCAGGTGTGCCTTTTCCAATGTCAGCAGTTAGGGTGGATAAAAAACCATGGTTTATTTTCAAAAGCAACAATAAAATTTTATTGAAATTCAATTTTATAAATATAAACACATGCTTTTTCTTTTTTTTTTCTTTAATGCATGCCAGTCTGCATTTGAAATTTTGATATTCTATATTCTAGTGAATTTAGTTTCCAAAGATCATGGAAAAAAAAATGAGACAGAAGACTATTATATCAAATCACTAGGCTGAAGATGACTCCCTCCACACATGATCCTCAGCTTGGTCAAACTTTGAGATCGAACCTCAAAAATGAGATTATGAAAGAGGAAAATACTTCTACAGGTACAGTTATTTTGTTTTCATCTCCTTCCAAATTCATCTCCTAGCCACATTCAATGACTAATTCCTTGAAACCTGAAAAACAGACTTGAAAATAGGAACTTTACACATAAACTGGAGACAGGGGAGACTTATTAGTTCTAGAGTCTTGAAGCTCATTGTGACAAAAAAAATAGGTCAGTTTAATTCATTATCTATCCTCTTCTGTTCACAAAGTTCATTTCTGAAGAGATGAGTTTCAGTTTACTTTCCAATATAAAGCACAGTATGTTTCAGATCATTTACCCAAACAAGAGTTAGAATGAAATGCTGCTGCTGTGGACTTAACCAAATGATACTCGGCTCTCTTTAAAAAAACAACAAAGAATGGGATATCAATTTCAAAGAAAGTTTTAAAAATAAAGTAATACATATAAGTACACAGAGTTTATATATTTGCTATGTAACTAAATATATTTAAACTATAACACATACAGGCTAAATACCTCATGAAAGATTGCTTTCTTCTAGGTAGCAAGATCAGAGTACAACATATACTGAAATTATAAAAGCAACACATTCTGTTGTTCACCAACTAATTTTTTTTCTACAGTGCACTTCACAAGCTAAACCTTTAGATACAAACCAAGATTAGAGTTCGGATTATTTAACATAGTGCTTTCTGTTTACCGATGCAAAATTCCATCTGTTTACATAACTCCCACCCTATCTGTAACCACAGAATTCTGCTGATAAGATTACTCAACAGAAGACAGTCAAGAGCAACCACATCTATCATGCAAGAAATTAAAAACAAAGAAGAAAAAGACAAAGCTATCTTGACTGATTTGTGAATACCAAAAAAAAAGAATCAGAGAAGGCAGTGGTAAAGCTCTGGTAAAGATAATCCTGGCAACCAATGCATATTTCCTCCTATAAACTCCTGTGTTAAACTCCAGCTTCTAGCCTGAGATGCTTTGAAACTCTGCAATGCTTCTTTCTAGAAGAATTAACCTGTCAAAAAACAAGATGATTGCTTTGTCTGAGTGATGGCAAGCATCATGTCTCTTGACAGTAATAGTTTTTATCACAGAATGGTGTGCTACATGAGGAGGCATGCATGTGCTATCTTCTAAGACTTGCTATTTGCTTGTTGCAATGTGAGGAAAAAGTTCACAGTCATGCTTTCAAGGTTTCTGCAGCTATCTCTCAACCCCCTTAAAGTCTTCAACTCTGCTGGGTGCTCAAAACATGACAGGATAACACTTTGCTCAAAGAAACCCCTTGTCTCTTCCCGATGGATGAGAATACCTTTGGATGACTGAAACTTTTGCTCTTCCTGTGCCATGCAGTTACTCACCTTCAGATGAGCTTTAGTAAACCTTACTATTGCTCAGGAAGGGGCCTTCTTCGCACTCCCTACCACACAGGGTTATGAGCACCTTTTAGCTGCCCTTCACCAAGCCTCAGTGCACACAGTTAAGGATATCAAGACAGAGTGAATACGAAATTTCTCCTTTCCCTTCTTTTTGTGTCTCCCTAGTGGGATTCTTATCTTATCTGCCTGGAACAGGGAGTCTCTCAGTATATTTAGACAACAGCCATGCAGAAAACCTACAAGAGAAGGGGATAGACCTCCTCCATAAACTTCTGGTGCAACAATGAAACGGATGACTCCTGCCATTACAGAACATATATTATAGCAAAAGACAACTATTTACCAAGGGAACACACAAGCACATAAAGCACCTTGGGCTGAAGGTGGAAAGCTCAAGGAAAGTACAAAAATGTTAGCAGCCTTTTATGAGGGAGGACTACCAATCTGAAAGCTTTGAAAGCAGCAGCAACCTAGTTTCAGACAGTGAGTCTTTCTCTCTTCACATTCTCTTTGTTTTACCAGCCCAAACACTCATTTCTTCTTAAGTCTTACTCTTTATTTTAGCACACAATTCACAACTAACATCTTCAGACATGACACAGCAGAAATCACGTCTCTGTGGTACACTCTGTATTTGTGGATGAATTTCTTTTAAAATGTTCATTTTATCTCCCAGAAACAGCTGCTAATGCCAATCATCTTGATAAAAGTTGATTCCTTGTACTACTCAGTTATTGTCCTGCTAAATTACATGCAGTTACAGAATAAAGCCCTCCATGTTCATTAATAGCACATCTAGACACATTCTTCAATTTCAGAGGAGAACAATTGTTTCAAAGCTGCCACAGGATAGAATAGCTTTGGCTGAATTTGCAGGACAGCCAAATTTAGCATAGTTACTGTACAACAATGTGAAGTTTGAACTTACTTGTATTCAGTACATATCACAAACTGACTTTTTAATCTAACAGTATAGTAATTGTCAACTAATATCCCACTGGCTTCAAAAAGAGAATTTAGCACGTTCTGTATTTTCATTCTCTTGTATTAAAGCTACCAGGCCTTACCTTTAACTGCTGTTCTCCCCATGGTAACACTTCTGTGATCTTCCCTCTCACAATAAAAAGGCTGAAGTTGAAAGACCAGTTAATTCTTCCTTTCAGCACAACAGTTTCCTGTGGAGCAGTAATACAACAAGTTAGGGGGAGGCTGTTGTTGGCACTTGGGTTTTCTATTTTCGGAAAGGATGATTTTTTTTGTATTGATGTATAATTATCTTGCTGGTTTTAAGTTGCAAATGTTTAACAAACTATGTGTAAAGAGTAACATGTAAACATCAGTTACATACAAGGAGCAAGGGTACCACATTCTACCTTTCATTTTGTTGTTTTAGACAGTTCATTCTATAATGATCTGCATTTTCTGTGGGTTTTTAATACAAAGATATAAAATGTGCATTATTCCTTTTTTCCCCCAAGAAACATCACTGAAAAAGGGAAGAAAGACTATTATATGTAACCTACTCACCCTGCCTCACTTGCACAGTTAAACAATCATCAACTTAAACATCTCTGGGTAAAACACACTATCTTCCACAACTACAGCTGAAGAGGGAAAAAAACACTGATCTAAAAAATTTACACAAAGGCCCAAGTGCTCACTGACACCCCTGCCCAGCACAACTTGTAACACAGCACAGAGAACTTGTTAGGGAAATGCTAACTGTAGATAAAAGCATCAGCTAGATTCTTGTAGGGTTTGGAAACCAGAAGGGACAGATTAGTTGATCTAGTGTAAAACAGCAAAACCAAACTTTGTGTGTGTGTGTGTGTACTGTGATTTTCTACTCCAGCACCTAGGTTTTTGAACTTTGACTGTGTCCAAGTCAAACTCATTTGAAGCATTTAGCCTTGAAGCAACAAAGCAAGCAAATTTATTATTTTTTCCACTAACTTTTCAAGTAATAATGGATAAAAATACATTCAAATTTCTGAATTATATTCTTATATATATATATATTCATTTCCTTCCAAGGAACACCCATGAGGTTTAAAACTGACATCATCAAAAGTCTGAGATTTTTTTTTAAATTTAAATGTGTGTATACTTTTTCCAAAATTAATTTTCTCAAAGGTAACATTTTTAGAAGATATTTCTTTTACATAATGCTGGAAAGATGTAATAGTTAAAAAGGAGGCTATCTACTTGGGATTTCTTGAATCTTTTATTCACATGCGAAAAAAATAAAATACTCATATGTATTACATCTAACAAGAGAGGCATCATACAATTGAGTATTTTCCTGAAACTGTGACTTTTAGTGAAACTTCAAGGAACTTGCACACTGTGCTGATGGACTGCATGATGAAAACTTTATACAGTGCAAGTCTCATGGCTAAAACTAATTAAATATGTTTTGTTAAAATACCAGGGACCTAAGAATTCATTTTGTGTGTGTGTGTGTTGTGTGTGAACATTCTGGACACTTACTACAAAAATTCTCAAGATTGAGACTTGAAAGCAGTTATAAATAAAACTGAATACTACCATAAAATGAGCAGGTTTTGCTACACAATAGCATTCATACCGTAAGTGATCATCAGGATTAAGAACAGAAATCCTTTTAAGCCATCAAATGAATTTGAAATACTTGATACTTTCATAGACTCCCCCAAAAATTCAAAGCTTTTCCACTGCAAGTAATAAATCATGAAAGGTGATGCAGAGTCAAAGTAACTGTTTTTACAGATTACTTTAAAACAGTGAATGGTTTTTATCTTTTTGTTCCAAGTACCAGATTGCACTTGGTGCAGTAATAAAGATTCCAACCCTGCAGTGATAGTCATCAAGTTTAGCACAACCGGAGCGTCTGTCAGGACATAAAAAGGATTCCAGCTTTTCATTAGCTTGTGTTGTACCAGATAGGCTGTTTTACAGCATGCCCACCAGCCTGTTAAAAATATAAGACAACTGAAAGTTCTGAAAGTGCTGTTTGAAACGAGGTAAACCCAACTGCAGGAACACAATATATTGCTGGTTTGAAGAGGTGCTACTTAAAACTCAGTTACACCTAAGTATTCAATTTAGAGCTGCTATTAAATTAGCGCATAGATTGTGCTGTTTGTCACAGAAACATCCCAGAACGGTATTTCTGAGCCTCCATCTAACAACCACTACATGCTGCTGAACTACCGCAAAATGAAAACCAGTTACCTCCAAAACAGAGCATGGTCAGCCTGAAACAAAGTGTAACTTCTTTTGCAGGGGCAGACCAAGGAACAACTTTCCATCACCTCACATAATTAACTGGTAAACCATAAATAAGGCAGTTATGTCCTTTGCTAACCAAGACAAAGTTTTCTTCTGTCGCGCTCACCATCACCAGCCTGGATCAACTCACACCACATCCACCACAGAAGAGAAGAAAACCACCAGAAAATACAGGGCAACACCTCCAGGGGACATTTTGGTAAAATTACACAGCAAGGACAGAGCTCAAGGCATTCTTGTACAAGCAAGCTGAGTGAGAAAGACAGGTTAAGAAATTTACGTAGCAGCTTCTAGAAATTAAAGGAAAAACTAAACAAAACAAGGTCAGGAAGATATGAGCAAACAAAGAAATGCAATGGCAAGGCTGCAGTGCAATGGCTTGAAGGTGTACAAAGGAGCAGAATGAAAACCAAAGTTACAAAGACCAAGCTAAGCACAGAGGTTGTCAGTCATGGACAGAAAATGGCCAAAACATTTAGGGACTGTCAGTACAGAATCCATTGAGAACCCATTCGCTGTAAATTATGGAAACTGAAAAGGCAAGTGGAAAACAATCCATGAACCCAGGCTAATATTGGATTCATTATCAAAATATCTTCAATCCAAAGAGCATGTAAAAGACCTCAACACTCATGAAGTGTATTATTTACATCACATCTCAATTCATCCTGTAAACCAAGTTTTAGTCTTTCTCTGGTTAACACCCCTTACACCAGTTACTTTTTTAAAAATCAGATGGAATGCATTCATCTGCCTTTAATTCCTTACTGAAGTTTTTATTGTTAATCACTTCTATTAGCCACCTCCCACTGTGCAAGTCCTTTGTCAGAAAGCCATATATTAGCAGACAAGCCTAAGCCTTTGCTCTCTCTGCATTGCTAGTACATAATACTAGGTGTCAGAAAACAGGATGGAAAACATTTTTCCTGACTAACTTTGCTCTTTTTATTTTGAAAGAATTACCCAAAGGACATGTATTGCTGCATTTCAAAGAAGCTAGTATTCTACAGAAAGCATCTAACTTGCTCTGTTTTGCCTGCCATGCATCGCCATTATCCTTTTCACTGTAAGCCAGGCACTCAAATAAGCCGAATGTCCTGAAAAAAAATCATGTATATTTAGGGCTTCCCAGTGCAAGTTTATCTTGACAGCATGTTTGCTCATAAAAATACACAGCACATAATTATGAAGATAAACATAACATTTAAAAGAAGCCTAATCCCCTAGGAGATTGTGGGTTTATTCCCTACCAAAAGGTTAAAGTTTTTCTGTCAATGACTCTGCATCTCTTTTCGAGAGGTAAGACAAGAGACACCAGTTTTAGAGCCTGTTAGCTTTTTTGACCCTACCACTGGTACAAATGCAGTAACTCAGACCTCATTCTTGGTGACGTCACTTGTGGAATGGACAGCTGTCAATGGGTAGTCTCGGCTGGATAAGGACTGAGGCTGTTCTTTTACACAGGTACACAGCACAGAGGAGGAATCTATCAGAACATTCACTCTGAAGCATCAGTGAAGTTCTTAATTTTAGCTTGAAATAAAGGCAGATATTTTTCAGGCTTAATATGAACAAGGAGTTATACTTGCCAGTGTTCACGTGCTGTTACCTTTAGAAACACAAGAGACAGCAGTTACAACTGCTGGCCACGCTCCCATTGCTCCTCACCTCCTTCCTGCTGTTTGTTACTGCCAGCACTGCAGAGGCCTTCAAGAAAAGGACTTATGCAGCCTTTCCTTGGAACAACACACAATCTGGCAACCACAGTTCCCACTCCAGCTTCCACACATGGGTAACAAGCACCCACAGGCACCAGTTGCTTCCCAAACAAATGTGGTTTCACTGCATTACTTCAAAGTTATCCATCATTAATCTGGAATACCCTTTTCTTAAACATAATCATCTATTCATCTGTTGTCTCTTAATTAAAATCTCTACTTCATACCATTTTCACAAGTCTTTAAGGGACTGAAAAGAGACAAAGAGAGTAAGACTTAAAAGGAGGTTTTTAATAAAATACATTGGTTTCAAATTTCCAATACTTGAAAATTTACTCTCCAGCAAGTTACCCAGCGTGTAAACTCATCTGGTACACTTCAAGACAAAACAGTATCTACTTCCTTATTTCTGTAATACAGATAATCACTTCACACCTCTTAGAGCATACTGTGGCATCATTAAAAAAGAGTAAGATCTCAAAGGCTAAAAGAAAAAAACACAAATGAATCAGAACTTCACAAAATGTAACACAAGCTTTGTAGTTGTAAGTTGTAAATTCAGTATGTATTTGAAATCATTTATGATTTTGAAACATTTAAGATGGGGTCTTCTTTCATTTATACACACAAATATATAATCAGTCAGTGTTCTGACAAGAAATTTGATCCAAGTTGGAATCCCTTTAAGTTCACATTCCTCGTGTAAAAAAAAAAAAAAAGAGATTCTTTCAAGGAAAGGAAATTAAACTTCCAGATTTTCATATAGCAGAGCTTCTAATAAACCGCTATATCTAAAACCCTCTTCTAGTTAATAAAAATAGAGCTAGGACAGATAGACTTTTGTCAAATTTACAAGCTCTCAGAACAACAAATATTAGCTAGTCATATATATCATTAGAACAACTAAGCTTGAATATTTCTTAAGTTGTTAAAGGAAGAGAGTGGGTACTTAGTGCCTTACAAATATATTTTTGTAATGTCATTTGCTTTAACAGCAAGAAGAAATTTTCTGCACTTGCAAAAATGCTCTGAAAGTCACCAGCAGTGTACTGCTCACTATTTATGAAGTGATTAGCATAAACAAACTTTTAAGCTGTCAGTAGTAAAATATTGCCTGTAAATGTTCTGCTCTCTCACCAGGTAAGTTTACGATCTGCTTAAGAATATGAGCAACTGTAATTACAGTA